TTCCCGCTCATTTCAAATGTAAAGCACTTTAAATTTCAAATGTTAGATACTCCAGGGTCAAGCGATTTTGATGCGGTTTGCGGCAATCGACGCGGTTTTTTTCAGCTTGACGGAACCCACGCAGCACACAAGCGTTATGGACATAAATATACCAGCCCACATGGATTTGAGAATTCTTTTAGAAACGTTTATGAGTGTAGAAAAGAGGTTATATCCTTTTAAGAGTGGTTTATAAGTTATTATACAGCTCAAGCTGTATTATGGAGGATGTATGATGTCTGTATTATGGGATCTAAATAACCTTAGGGTTCGTATTCTAAGTAACGTTAGGGTAAGTATTTTGTAACGTCAAAACTCAACTCCAACTCGAGTGTAATATATATATATAATTTTTTATCTGACATTAAATATCGCCATCATTCAATAAAGTATGTATAAATAATTTAGAACACTTATCTTTATAAGTTACTTATAAGGAGACAATATCCGTAGAGTAATAGTTTCTTTGCATACCAAATAACAGCAATAATACAGCTGTTCTATAGACTTTTTTATGCTTGTAAAGCTACTGTACAGTGCTATACTTCGCATAAAGCTCTATAATTATGCAAATATTTAATTATAAGAACTGTGTAAGCGCTTATAGCCGCGCTTAAAGCCTTTGTACAGCCAAATTGTACAGTCTGTAGTATAAAAACGAACTTCAATACAGCTCGTATACGGCTTGCGTGCTGCTTGGGAAATTTTTCAAGTTATGTCCAAAAAACACTTTTTTGAATTTTTTTTCGTCAACGATATTTCTCGAACTAATCAACCGCTTTTAATGCGGTTCACGACAATCGACGTCGTGTTTTGCGTAGAAAAGCTGATTAGATTATAAAATTAATCAAAACAAGGAAGTCGACGTAATTAAAAAAAGCTTTTTTGAAGATATCTACTGTGATGATTTGGTCTTAATTCACAGAAAATCTAAGTTCAGCGAGGCACTGCCAGATGCCGCAAACCGCTTTTCGATCGGACACTACTTTACAAAGTTATGAGATGTTTACATGCATGTTTACATACATAGACACGCACACACACACAAACATACATGCAGACATACATACATACAGACATACGGACATCATCGCAAAAATAGCCAGAATAGCTTCCTAGAATCTCGAAACGTCGAGATCTGATGAGTACTCGATTTTCAAAAACCGGGGGAAAACAATAACTTACCGATTTTTTTAAATTATTGATTTTCATAGAGGGAAGTTAAAAAAGAAAGACTTAGGATCTTATTCTAACATTTCTAAAAAGCAATAGGAGATATTCATTCTTGTGTATTTCTGCACATCGGTAAGCATTCTAAGAACGCAACGCGCAGATAATTTTTCCATGTAAGTATTTACTTATATTACTAGATACATATATTTTAATATTAGTAATATAAGATTTATTTTATAATAAAAAAGGAGGACATTCTCGCATTGAGTTTGACCTGTACGGATACATGTCTCAAGTAACAAATAAAATATCTTGAGGTTCATGTAAAATTAACGAAATCTCTGATGCTTCAAAAAATTAAATTATCTCGAAATAGGGTATTTAAAGCATAGTTATAACCCATTTTGGTGTTTTACCTAATATTTGTTGATTAAAGAAACACGTTTGACAATGACTTGAATCTCAACCGATAGGTACTTTTACTTTTGATTAAAGAAGATCATACGAGTTTAATTGCGTTGTAAGGTACCCCTTTTCGTTTTAGTTCGAAACTGTTAGAAAATATTGTAATATAATGGACAAAATTCATATTTTATGATGTTCACGAAAACGATAAAGAAAGGATTGTACGAGGGCTGCACTAAAAGTATCGGGTATGGATTATTTCCACTGTTCCTGTCATATTAAAATCTTTTTAATTGAAAACTCCTTGGTTTTAAAAATCGAATACCATTTATTTATTTAAAAAAAGATTCTCGGTCTTGTCACAAGGTTTTGTCAAACTTGTTTAGTCGTTGAGAAAATGGAATTGACTCGAGAAAATTCAAGAGCGGTGATTTATTATGACTTTCGAAGTGGTTTAATACAAAAACAGTGTGTTGACCGGATGATTCTCCGTTTGGTGATGAAGCCCCATCCAAAACCACAATTTATCGCTGGTTTGCTGAATTTCAACGTGGACGTGACAAGCTCAGTTATGATTCCCGTCAAGGTCGTCCAAAAACTGCAGTCACCCAAGAAAACGTTGATGCTGTGCGTAAGCTGATTGAGGAAGATCGATACGTGAAATACCGCGAAATTCAGGCAACTTTAGACATTGGCATGATTCAAATACAAATAATCTTGCATGATGTAAAAAAGTTGTTTTCCCGACGGATACCGTATTCGCTCTGTGAAGAGCAAAAAGCGACTCGCGTTACTTGGTGCGTCAGAACTCTCGAAAGATCCTCAAATGCTGTATACAAAATCGTATCAGGTGACGAATCCTGGATATACGCGTACGAACCCGAAACAAAAAAACGAGTTTGGGTGTTCGAAAATGAGTTAAAGCCAACAAAAATTGTTCGTTCACGGAGTGTTGCAAAAAAAATGGTGGCCACGTTTGTCTCCGAAAAGAACGGTTAATGCAGAATGGTATGCTATCATTTGTTTGCCACAGGTCGTTTCTAAAGAGAACTGCAACCGCCGCATCATCCTCCATCACGACAATGCGAGTTCTCACACCGCACACAGAACAAAAGAGTTTTTAGAGCAAGAAAATATAGAATTATTAGACCATCCGCCGTGCAGCCCCGACCTAAGCCCTAATGATTTCTATACTTTCCCTAAAACAAAGAATAAATTGCGTGGACAGAGATTTTCATCACCTAAAGAAGCTGTGGACGCCTACAAAACGGCCATTTTGGAGACCCCAACTTCCGAATGGAATGGTTGCTTCAATGATTGGTTCCATCGAATGGAAAAATGTGTCAAATTCCGCGGAGAATACTTCGAAAAGCAATAAATACATTTTTAAACAGTAATGTTGTGTCACTTCCTTGATTCCCGAAATTTTCTGTGCCGCCCTCGTAAATAACAACACTGTTTACAATCCTTTCTTTATCATTTTTAATTTTCTTATATGAAACACACACCTTTAAAACAATGGTTTAATTATCGACATTTGCGTTTTTGAAGTGTTATTTAGACAATTAAAAATGTGAAAATTAAAATACAGAAACTTAAATAAACATTTATCCAATTACTTCTTATAATTACAAATTTGTAATAAATACTACCCTGAAATAACTGTACGAGTAAAGTAAGGTAAACTTGTGGCGAAGCAATATGTACTTTCAAAAAAAAGAAATATTTATGCAGCAGTATACTTTTATATTAAAATTTGTGTGTTGTTTGTTGTTGTTTGTTGTTCAATGTTTAAACTATAATACTGACGTTCTCATTATTATAATGTAAGAGGAAAGAGATTTCTAAACACTTTAATTAAATATTTTACTCCGCTAGCAATAAAAGAGGTAATTACAAAACAAAATATGTCGAATTTCACAAATGTTACAGCCTATATTTATAAAAAGTTCACTTTCCAGTCACAGATACAACTTAAAATATGGCATGGGCGCAAAAGTTAACAAGATATTTATTGCCCACTTGTCTCGTAAATATTCGGTAATCCACACTTTAATCCGCAAATGTGAATAATATTGCATTGCGATAACCGTTCTAAGATAATCGCGAACTTACTTTTTAATCTAACGTCCGAACAGTAATCGACCAGTCTATGCCGCGAATCAACGCCGCAAACATTTGGCGAGGATATAGACGAAATGTACTGTGGAAGTAGATCTATCATCGGGATACATCCATAGCTTTCCACAAAGCTATATACATCACCATTACAAGAAACTAACAAGTGGTTTAAGTATAATTGGAAGTGTTGCAGTGAACTTTTTCATACAATATGACAAGCAAAATGCCGCGTTTAGTGCGCCAATTGTCCACAAGGATCATGGAGAAGATACGAAACTCAAAAACGTTTACTTTTAACGTAGATGTCATTCGCAGAAGCTTCACATTACTTTCTACTTATAGAGGAGTCACTATACATTCTAAATATGAGGTGAGGAAAACATGAAATAACGGATCAAGGGTTCTAGAAAACTATCCGCAATTGGCTCCATCTTCATAATGATCGATAATTGATTCTTAACCTATTAACGTCGTTAAGCTAAGAACTCTAAAACATCGTCTACGACACAGTTAATTACAAAATAAGATGTTGGCTAAGTAGACGCTGTTAGCGACGTACTTTTTTGTTCGTTTTAAAGGTCGTTTTAAATGAAAAACTTCTGTAGGTACTTACATATTTTGTATGTAGCTTTTCCACATAGCATTTACAATAAATTTGTACAATCGCACCAAATTAGATTCAAGCAAGTGGCTAGTTTTGTACGCTAAACCTATTCATGGCGGCTGATCTACTTTGTGATTAGTTTAATAGTGCACAAAGCACGCATTTCAATGTGGATATTAAATGTGAACTGTAGTGATCGGGAATGCATCATTTCATTGCATCTTGTCGACGCCCCATTTCATCATTTAGCTGTTCACTAGGTAATTTCAGTACATGATTCTTTTTTGTCTTCACATTCATTATGTTTCTTAGCATGATATCGCACAATAAAACACTTAATTGATATTTTATGAATAATAATGAAATTATTTCTTATTTCTACATTTTATTAGGTTAATAACAATATTTTTTATAACCAAACAGCCAGCTTCAATGTACTCTGAGATTTATAAATTATAAAGAAGCCTTTACAAAGTAGAGAACATTTTTAAATATTTATGTTACGAACACAAGCAGTGTTCCAGTAAAAACTAATCACCAAGTGTTAACCGCGATTTTAGACATAACGCTATAAAAAATTTATGTTGAGACTGACTGTGTCTGGTGGTCTGCGTTTTGTTAAAAATTAAAATGTAAAGAAATATGGCTGTGTGCGTAGGTGTTGTCGATGAGCGATGAGCTGCGGCGCGCGTTGTATTCTTCGGGCGCATCTGTCGACATGGAGTTTTCGCCACCAGACCTCATCGGCACTTCGGAGATATTCACTATGGAACACAGGTAATATACTAAATATTATGTAAGATAACTTAGTTTTTTTTTCCTGTTCAATGTTTTCTTTTTAATATCGAGTATACCATGACCATGTTTGAAGAAATGGAATTATGTACAAAAATGTTAAACATTTATCAATATTTTAAATTCAAATCAATGGCTTGCAGTAATCGGTCAGTTAGAAACTGTAACTTGTTCATTCTGCCACTTTTTTATAGCTCTAATAGATTTATTAAATTTTATTTACAGCTTATCTCTAAATCCTATAGTCTTAAGTCCGCTTCAGACATCTGTTCTTCTGCTGACTCGAACTCTACTAGCACATCTCCCGTTGATAGAAACTCTATCTCTATTTTATAATTTATTATTTTATTTTATGAAATAAAAGAAGTCACACTTTGCCAAATAAGGGCCGTTAGATAAGTTACCCAAAAGCTTAACCGACTATTCAGGAAGTCCCTTGTCTTGAGATAAATTCAAGTGTGAGCATTTTCGTGGTGAATATGTAGCTCAGGGAGACTCGTGTAACCCAGACACTAGATCCCAGTCAATGTGAAAGAACTAGCGATCAAAATTTTCGCTGTGCTCGATCGCTTTGCTTTAGTAGGCTTTGGTTCAATTTGTAATAGCCAATCCGTCGACTGGAACTTCGTTTCTGATCGTATTGATAAATTTAGTGCCGTAAATTTGCAGAGATACCATTTCACGCGTGCTTGATTCTGAGCATTAGTGAGGATGCGTGGAGTTTAATCCGTAACTATACCCCTCACGTAAAGGAGTTCGTGTAAAATATCGTGAACGCTTGCCGATCTTATCTGCATTATGTGCTGAATCTCGTCATACGTAATTCGCCTAATCTCTACAATTAAGATTTTCACTGCCAGCACGTTTCCTTTCATAACAGCCGTCAAAGGGCGACAAGTTCTTTTATCATATCTCAAAAGTTAGTCGACTATGCTGAAATCTTTTATACCCGCGGTAGACGATTGTCTTAGAAGTGCTTTATCCATAAATGCTATTTGAAATGTATCATACGATTCGTCCGGTTTAAAATTGTATAAAGTTATCGTATAATATTAATATTCATTAAAATCGTGTTTTGTATTTATAATATTGTATACAACACGATATTACAATTTAGTTCATAAAACATGTTTAGGGAGATTTAATATTGGAACGTTTGTATTTTTAATTGTATTGTCAAAATAAATATTATCAGGCCAGTTTCTCAATATAAAATATTTTTTTCGCAAAACTATGTGTCTTGCCTGTCATGTAATCATCCTTTAGAATCCAATAGGCTGATAATTGTAACAACTTTACTGATGCTGAATGCATGTAACAACTTTACTGATGATGAAAAATGCTACTGAATGGTATTGTATCCGCGTTCACAAACTCGCTAGGTCAAGGTCGGGTAAGTAATGGCCAAACACTAAGCAGAGCTTGCCAGCTAATTAAAAGCGGACTTAAGGTGGCCCTAGTCGATGGCACGAACTAAGTGGTGGGTGGGGTTAAAATACCTACATGCTATCTCAGCCGACATCACGTATGAAAGCGACGGACATGACGATTGACAACAAAACAAGCGCGCGAAATTTTATAAACAGACCTTTAGGAATCTGGATATTATGAAAAATGTATTGAATTTGCACTTTTTAACATCTAATCTATCCCTGTATGGTAACTGTTTTGCAATTTTCGTTCTTCTTATGGAATTTATTTCCGCCCTAAGATGTGTTAAAATTAGTACTTTTAAATATACTCTTTTTTTACTTTTTTGTTTCCATACGGGGCTAGATAATGATGTGACAAATTGAAATCATTTTTTATTTTGAATGTACACCATCAAACAATGGAGTAATCGCGATACTACGTTTGTATGGAAAAATGAGTGACTTGATATGTTTTGTAAACCCATCATTCACCATTTATAAAAACCTACCTTTTGTGCCAGTACTATTATGAAATTTCTTTGAAACTAAAAAAGCTTATTGTTCGTTTACTCACGTTTTGAATATATTACAATATATCATCATTTCAAACATCACGAAGGCAGATAATACGTATCGATTGCGGATTGAATTTGAGTCTAAGTGTGCTTGCTATAACGAATGTTATAAATGTTTGAGTTTGCTTGTTATATCATTGTCACCGTGTCTTTGACACTGGCACATAGTCTACCTCTGATCCTGTCTCGTAGTCTCGTTATATATATCTCTCTCGTTATATATATACTCGGCATGATTAGTTTGAGAATGTTGCCGTATGGTTGCGGCGTAACAACCATTTAATAAACCAACTTAATATATTATTTAAGTATATATTTTTTATTTATTAATAAAATATAAACTACAGCTATCTAGAATCATAAAGATATTTTCCATCCGATTACGTTTACGGCATCTTGATACTGTAAAATATTTTTTTTATAAAACTGAAATGACGTGAGTGGAACTGAGATATGTGGCTATTGCGGTTCATAGACACCTGTGGCTAACTTCAAATAAAGACGGCTACAGATTAAGCATGTTCGCGGATGATGTTATTCCTTACCGGCCGACTTGATTAGCGTACATGGAATATAGGTACATAAAAACACTATTGTTAGGGGGTTATATATATAGGGGGGATAAGTCGCTCGCGTCCGTAGGCTTTGACCACCTGTTCCTAGGCCCACCCTACACGTGTCCCCCGGGTGGTGCTAAATGAGCGACAAGCCGATACCACAGACTCGGCTCCACGCTGTGGTAGCGGCGTTAAATATACCACCCCATTTCGCACCATGAGGAATCAAATTCAAGAAATGGCCCCGAGTTCCCGGCGCCCCTTTAATGGGGCAGGGGTGCGAAGAATCTCCGGGAGGAAAACCGGCGACGAGGTTCGCCACCCGTCACGTTCTGTCTCTCGGAGAGGCGAAAAGTGGATTGCAGAGGCCCGTATGGCTACGTTGAATGTATGTGGGGCAATGAATGATAAAATGGATGAAGTATGCGATGTGATGTATGATAGAGGAATAGATGTGTTATGCGTAAATGAGGCGAAAAGGAAGGGGAAGGATGTCACTACACATGGCATGTATACCGCATACTGGTCTGGTGTAGACGAGATCGAGCGGGCATGCCAGGGAGTAGGTATCATCCTTTCAGAAAGAATGGGCCAATGTGTGAAAGAGTATGAATGTGTAAGCACAAGACTGCTATGGATACGAATGAAAGTTGGCTTAAAGATGTTGTTTGTGTTAGGGGTCTACGCCCCAGACATGTCTAAGCCCACTTATATCCGAGAGCAGTTTTGGGAAATGGTAAGAATGGTGTTAATGAAGTGTAAGGGAAATGAAAATATTATTATGCTAGGAGATTTTAATGGAAGGGTTGGGAATAATAGAATGAGAATGGTGAAAGTCTCCTCACCGTATGTATGGAAAAGAATCTTTTTGTGACGAACACTTGCTTTCGCCACAAGAGGATTCACATGTATACTTGGGAAAGAGGTGACGATAGAAGCATGATAGATTTCATAATTGTGGATGAAAGATTGAGGGGCGCAGTGGTAGATACGAGAGTTTACCGGGGTTCTAACGTAGGAACGGATCATTATTTAGTTTTATGCTGAATTAATGGTCTATTCAGGCGTTGGCGCCATCGATCGTCTGTGTCTACCACTGCGTTACAGCGTATTAGAACAGAAAGGTTACAAGATGAAAGTGATAAAAACAAGTTCAAATTTAGACTGAAAGAAAATATAAGTGGTTTGGATGAATTATGTTTGAAGGAGTTAGACTTGGAGAATATATGGCAAAATGTAAAGAAAAGTTTAGTGGATGCAGCTACCGAAGTATGTGGTGTTAGTAAGAGAAAGAATGAAAGGAAAAATAATACGTTATGGTGGGATGATGAGATACGTATGGAAGTTGAAGCAAAGAAGAGAGCATGGCTAGATTTACTAGCAACAAAGGCTGCTAATTCTAGTGGTACGAATGGTGATATTGAAAGAAAAAAGGCAGTCTTTAGACATCTTAATAAGAGAGTAAAAGAAGTAGTTGAAAGAAAAAAGCAAGAAAGAACGGATAAGAATGATAGAAGAATATCGGATAACTTCCAGGCAAATATTAAAATGTTCTGGAAACTTGTAAGAACTGCCAGGGGACATTCAAAACAGCCTATGATGAATGCTATAAGAGACGAGAATGGCTATATTCTGAATGATGAAGTTTTGAGTTTAAAGAGATGGAAGGAATATTTTGAAAGCGTGTTTATGAGTGAGGAGACAACGTGTATACTAAGTGAAGTAGAAACACCGACAGAAGAGGAAAGAGGTAGCGAGATAAGTATAGATGAAATAATGAAAGCAGTGAAAAGCATGAAAGCAGGTAAGGCTGCCGGATATGATAGTTTCACTCGAAATGCTAAGGGCTGGAGAGGACATGGTGGCAAGCCTGCTGCACACCTTGTTTAATTTATGCTGGGAACTGAAGCGGGTACCGGTAGACTGGTGCAAAGCCGTGATAGTCCCAGTATATAAGGGAAGAGGGTCGCAGCAGGACTGTAAAAACTACCGTGGCATCAGCCTTCTTAGCATTGTGGGAAAACTGTATGCTAAGGTACTGATTGAAAGGGTCATGAAAGAAACTGATGGAAAAATTTGGGAAGTGTAAGCGGGCATTAGAAAGGGAATGTGATGTACAGATCAAGTCTTTTCCATGCGCATGATCGCGGAGAAGTTTTTGGCCAAAAACCAAAAGGTTTTTTGTGCGTTCATGGACTTAGAAAAGGCCTATGACAGAGTGGATAGGGATTTGCTATGGCAAACACTGAACTCATTTGGGTTGAGTGCTGGCTTGATACAGGCATTGGAGTCTCTTTATAGGGACTCTAGTGCTTGTGTTAGGATCAACGGGGTCTACTCGGACTGGTTTGACATCCATAAAGGTGTCAGACAGGGCTGTGTGGCTTCCCCGTGGCTGTTCAACCTATTTATGGACAGTTGTTTGCAAAATTTGAAAGTTGAAGAATGCGGATAAAGAATGGGTGAGTTAACCGTCAAATGCCTTTTGTACGCCGGTGATCAAGTTATTCTTGCGTCGTCGGCGGCCGAGTTGCAAATGATGGTTACATTAATGAACGGATCATTAAAAGAAAGGGGTATGAAAGTGAACGCAAGTAAGACGAAGGTTATGGTTTTTGAAAGAGAAGAAAGTAAAACGTTTTGTGAAATAAGAATAGAAGGGGAGTTGATCGAGCAAGTAGATGAGTTTGTATATTTGGGCTGCGTATTTAGCAGGGATGGGAGATATGATAAGGATATAGAACGACGAGTGAATGCGGGAAATAGAGTAAATGGGGCCTTGCACTCTATTGTGAAGAGTCAAAATGTGTCGAAAAAGGCTAGTATGGCAATTCACAATGCTGTGTTGGTCCCTACTTTAACGTATGGTAGTGAAAGTTGGGTGTGGCAGAAGAAGCACGAGAGTAGAATAAACGCAGTAGAAATGCAGTCGTTAAGGAGTATGTTAGGGCTGAATCTGAATGACAGGGTAAGAAATTGTGTAATAAGAGAAGAGTGTGGTTTGCAAGATGATGTTGTGACCAGGATTAAGAAAGGAATGCTTCGGTGGTTTGGTCATGTGGAAAGAATGAATGAGGAAAGAGTGACAAAGAAAATTTATGGTGCAGAAGTGAATGGCAGAGTCGGAAAGGGACGTCCTAGGCGAAAATGTATCGACCAAATTGGCGATTTATTGAAAACGGGCCAAATTAGGAATACCCTTAACAGACGAGCATGTATGCGTAGGTGTATGGATGTGAAGGAAGCAAGAGAGGTGTGTCAGGATCGTGCCAAATGGAAGTCTGTAGTCTCTGCCTACTCCTCTGGGTGACAGGCGTGAGTGTTTATGTTATGTTATGTATGTAAAAACACTATTGAAGCTAACCGATAGTTTAGCCAGCCGATCATATTGGGCTTCATGTACGCGTAGTAGCCTTAGACCAAGCCTTTAAAATAAGGTTGTTTATTTCGCAAATTTTTAAATTTAAATTTAAATTTTGTAAATTTCATGAAATCTAAAACAACATCGTTTCAGAAAAAACAATGCCTCTATCCAAACCGGCCGGTAAGAAGGACGTTAAAGTTCATCACATGACGGAACAAACAGGCCCGATCAAATACAAAAACTGATTAAAAATTTTGTCGTATCTGGTTAAAATACATATTAATCACTATTAAAGTGAACCTACTCTTTATATAAAATAAATTATGCATTTCAGTTTACCAAACCGGGTGCTGTTGTGATGTTTACGTACATGCAAAAAAGAATGTTAAGTCGAATTAACCAAAATAGCATAGGTATTGATTTTCATATCCATAGCAAAGCCAAGCTTTTGGTATCGACGCCGTGAGCCATGCTGCAGTTATATTAGTAGTATAGTTGTAGCACGAATGGGTCGGCTCGACCGGGGAAGGACCACGCTCTCACAGAATACTAGAGTCAAATAGTAGCTTAATGCTGCTGTGTTTTGTATGGTGAGTGTAGAGAACCGAAGACCATTTTTACTGGAAATGACGCATTCCATCTTAGTACTCACGGGTGACAACGCATCTGCATTTTGTTTCGTAATCGAGGATATATGTAGATGTCTATGGGCCACAGCAACCACGCACCATCAGGTGGACTGTGTGCTCGTTTGTCATCCTATCCTATATAAAAAATTGACTAGTATTTGTACTTCTTAAACATATAAAAGTAAGTTCATATACAAAGGTTTTTAAATTGAAATTGAACGCAAACATGGTTCATAAAATGATGTCATACGCCTTAACATTAGATAATTTATGGGTACATAATATTATGTTAGTTGTATTCACAGTGTGTGATAACGACATAAGAGAATCTATTACTCGTTTTCGTGTCATATATTTCATAAATTGAATATGGGTAATATTGAGAAAATTAACGCCACTCAACGGATGGTACGATTTACCGTCACAAAACATACCAAAACTAAAGTATTCATATCGATACCCAACATAATATGAAAAGAAAACCCCATCGAATCAAAACCAAATGCCTAGAAACTTACACGTGGTAGAGCCACGTTGTAGCACGAATGGGTCGGATGGACCGGGGAAGAACCGCGCTCTCACAGAATACCAGCGTAAAATGGCAGCTTAATACTGTTGTGTTTCGTATGGTGAGTGTACAGATCCGTAGACCCTTTTTTACTGGAAACGAGGCATTCCATCTTAGTCCTCAGGGGTGACAACGCATCTGCGTTTTGATTGTTAAGCGAGGATAAATGCAGATGTCTATGGGCCACAGCATCCACTTACCATCAGGTGGACTGTGTGCTCGTTTGTCACTCTTATTCTATAAAATAAAAAAGAACAACCAGCCTAAATTCCTGGGGCTACTTTTTTAAAATATACTTACAATTACGTTTTTCACTAGACCTGTATAACATACATGGATAATTGGAATTCTTCAGTATAATTTTTATGTTCAATGTACCGGCCGACTCCCAACTCCGAAGTCCCCTATGCAACTACCCCCTTGAGTGGCTTATTTATATCCAGCAACGGACTGTCACAGACTGATGACGAACGAACGGTATTATGATCGCAGAGAGAAGTTGTGCAGCGTGCTACCGGCGCGCGCCCAGGGCTACATGTGGTCGTTGGCGTTCAGCACCAGTCAGCACGGCTTCTCGCTCGCTTCCATGTACCGCAAGATGCAGCACGTCGACAGCCCCGTACTCCTCGTCATACAGGACACCCAAGAGAACGTAAGTCACTTTGAGTTATACTCATTTATAATATTTTTTTCGGGGTGTAAAGGGAAAGAAGTATATTTTTCTAAAGTCAACCTTTCTTGCACGCGGTGCTTCCTACTGGCTGGCGAATAGCCTTGCGGCCGATAAATGATGAAATATCTATTCGCAAATGCCGAACCCAAAACCTATACATACTGTTTTCATATATCTCCTTAACTAACTAAATAACGAAATTATTATATAGAAATCGATAGTTTGACTAAGCTTACTTAAAAAGTCCTCCAATGGCTCTTGAAACACAGTTATACTAGCTTACGGACCAGGGAATCAATGAATTTATGTAAAAAAAAGTATGTGTTATAAAACGTAAAGAAATAAAATAAATATAGAGTGGTAATTGAAAAAACATTATCAGTGCGAGAGCGTTCAATGCTCACCAACCCGCATGCATGCATGCATGCACAGTATGGTCAAAATAGGCAATACCTACTATTAAAAAATGCATATTTGTAGGCGCCTTCTTAAAAACCAAAAACGTTTGTTAAAATTCAGTATTAAAAGTCTTTGTCTACCCAAGTTTGTTTTTATCTAGCCAAGTTTTAATAACTAAACACGTTTATAATGACTTTATTTCGTTTGAACCACAGAAATCGTAATTACTATTTTTGTGGTTTAAACATTAATATCACATTAACAACATTTCGTTTGTAGATGTGTAGTGCGTTCGTGTAACTCTAACATATTGTTTACTGATGGGGTATACTCCGCAACAGTGTTACGTTTTTTTTTTATTATGATAAAATTTTGGAACCAAAAACTTGTTATAATAAAAAGGCCGACTTATAATCGATATTGATAAAATAAATCCAACTAAACCAAACAACGAAGCCAACTGAGATAAGTTTTAATAGTTACCATTTGATTATATAAAATACAAATAATTTTGCTCACCTCCGCTATCATGTTCGTTAAAATAACATTATGCCGATAAAATATAAAAATAAATGACTACTTTTAATATTAAAAGAAAATATTTATTATTGTAATTTTATTGTAATGTAGTTTCTTATAACTAAGAAACTACATTATATTTTGAAGTGTTATTATTATAAACTATTTCAATGATATACAACGGATTTACGCTATGCAATTATTAGGTATACGTGGTAGAGCCACGTTGCAGCTATATTATGGTTGTAGCACGAATAGGTCGGATCGACCGGGGAAGGACCACGCTTTCACAGAATACCAATGTAAAATAGCAGCATAATACTGCTTTGTTTCGTATGGTGAGTGTAGAGATCCAGAGACCCTCGTTTACTGGAAACGAGGCATTCCATCTAGGTCGTCAGGAGTGACAACGCATCTGCGTTTTGATTCTTAATCGAGGATAAATGTAGATGTCTATGGACCACAGCATCCACTTACCATCAGGTGGACTGTGTGCTCGTTTGTCACCATTTTCTATAAAAAATTATTAATAAAAATATTTATTTATACCTACGTTATTTATTTAGTACTTATACGTTTATTTATTTATAAACATTGTTTACATTTTATACAAAAATGTATCAGTCGAGACTATAGGAACCTCATGAGAAGCACTAGCGTTTAAATAAAAATATACATCAAAACAGAGCCGTGGTAGCTCAGATGGTTAGCGCTCGCTATAAATTTCACAATACGCGAGCAAACCGGGTTCGATCCCCGCCGGCACCAATGAAATTGTTAATTGCAATTTTAAGTGCTGATTTACCACGTGCTCGGCGGTGAAGGAAAACGTCGTGAGGAAACCTGCATATCTAAGGAATAAGATAAAAAATATTTCGAAGACATGTGAAGTTCGTCAACACGCATTGGGGCAGCGCGGCGGACTATTCCTTGCCCTAAAACCCTCTCAGAAATGAGAGGAGGCCTGTGCCCAGCAGTGGGACGTATATAGGCTGTAACTTTACTTTTTTTACTTATACATCAAAATCGGTTCTAAAACCTACAAAAAATATCTGAATTAACACGCAAAAAACATACAGTCGAATTGAAAAAAGGAGGAGGTACCGCCTTTTTTTTTTGAAGACAGTTAATAAAGATATGAAAGACAAAAAAGTCAAGAATAAGAGGACAGTTAAATAAAAAAGCTTGCAAAATTGAAAGGAGGGGTACTTGAAGACAAGAACGAAAGACAAAAAGTAAGAAAGAGCGAACAGTTAAATAAAAAAAAGCTTGCAAAATTGAAAAAAGGGATGCCTTTTTGGCAGTTATAAAGATATGAAAGACAAAAAAGTCAACAGACATAAAAGCAGCGAACAGTTAAATAAAAAAAAGCTTGCCATAAAGACTAAATGCATCCCCGATCCTTGTACCACAAAGCGTTGATAATTTAAACGGCATAAACCATATCATTACTAAAGTATTAGAATGCGATTGAATACTATTTACTAAACTCTACAAATATTAATAAATGGAACAGAAATAAAACAAACAATTTTGAAAATTAAACAAAACTGAAAATTTTGCTGTAGTCATTATAGTGTTGCGTTCTTTATTAGATGATCGATGGTTGCGAAGAATACTAAATTATTTAATGAAACATTGAATATTCTTTGCTCTTTCAAAATGGTTGACGGTCGTTTCTGTATGATTATTTTGAATTTTTAAAAGTGGTACATCTCTGGTGACATCTTCGTTCGCTAATACTTTTTTAAATGTTAGAAAAAGTCCCAAAAGTAAAGTAAAAGTAAAATTACAGCCTATATACGTCCCACTGCTGGGCCTCCCCTCATTTCTGAGAGGTTTTTAGGGCAAGGAAGTGTCCGCCGAGCTGCCCAAATGCGTGTTGGCATACTTCATATGTCTTCGAAATATTTTTTTCTCTTATTCCTCAGACACGCAGGTTTCCTCACGATGTTTTCCTTCACCACCGAGCACGTGCATTATCAGCACTATATCAGCACTTAATATTGCAATTAACAATTTCATTGTTGCCGGCGGGGATCGAACCCGGGTTACTCGCGTTCTGTTATATTTACAGCGAGCGTTAACCATCTGAGCTACCACGGCTCTACAAAAATCCCAAACCAAAACTAAACCTTAGTATGATGTTCAACGAGAGACAATTAGTTAAAACACTGCAGTGAATAAAAGCTTCATTTTAATGAACATTCAGGCAATTAAAATTACAAAGAAGCAAGTCAAGGATTTCTGAAAGGTATAAAATAAAAAGTAATCAGCCTGCAATGTGCTACAGGCTGTTTCGGCAAATTTTATTATATTTCTCTTTAATTAGCTATTAAAAAAAAAACTAATTGATATGAACAAAATAAATATTTTTAATTTCAATCTTGCGAAGTCTAACTATTAAACGAAAAATATGGTTGTATGGTTGAATACTCAAAGTGCGAAGTACAATGTTTTTTTTTGTAGAAAATATAGTAATGTTATATAAGTACCTATTCATAGTATAGATTTAATAGCATGCATCTTATTTTTATTTATATCTCGATCCGAGGAGATGATTTTTATCATTATCATCGACCGATGTATATTTTTAAGCTATTGCATAGCTTCTATCGCGGGCCTTGAGCGCGGGGATCGAATCCAGAAATTCCGTAACGAAAAAACCTCACGCTCCCCACTCCGACGGGCACGGAGGTGTGGCTTGAAGGCCGTGCATTGTCTAACGTCGTTTCTTTTCGGCAGTCTTCGACACGGTGTTTGTGTGCGTGCAACTAGACGTATTGTACGACTCTACGAAGCTCGCACGAATCGAGACGAGCTGCTCCGAAATCGGACGAATACATAAGCAGCTGTTTATGAGAAAGTATATAGGTGTATAGGTATTTATGTACAACAGTGAATAGCTGTACTTGTAAAATTTGTGTATAAAGTGTTTTGAATATGAATGAACAAAGTGCATTTATTATTTATTTATTTAATAAAAGAAAAAAAATTGTTTTCTTATCGGTCACCACGCTCAAAAATGTAACTTGAATTAATATCAAAGAAAAAGAAATACTGCATAAATAAAATAAATAAATAATTATAATTGCATAAGTTGATACAAAATGCTATGCAATAGCTTTACCGCGGCAGTCCCCGAGTGCCACACGTATTTTTTTTATATTTTACTAGCGATCCGCCCCGGCTTCGCACGCATGATTCATATATAGATCTCGGCAACAACGCCACCTACCGGGTCCGAATGTAAATCTAAACCATCTAGACTTATTCAAACGCACTAAAAGTTGCATCAAAATCTGAGACTGACGGACAACAATTCATTTATAAATATAGATTTTAGCCCGTATCATCCCGTGGGTGACGTAAAATACGAGAGAGGTAAGTTGAAACAGGAGATGGGCAGCAGCATGTTCCTGATAACAACACAAAATTATAAAACGCTACGGTTTCAAATTCAAATCCGCCCGCCAAGCAACTATGCCAAAATCCCCTCTAAGAGGAAATTTTTGGGGGAGGCCCATGTTCAGCAGTGGACTTTTATAGACTGTAATAGAATGGATGGATACGTTTATTCCTAGATATTGAACGCAATTAGTTAATATATTATTATGATAATATATTGCGTTTTTTAATAATTCTTAAAAAATTCCTTTGGTTTTGTATTCATTAAAATATTCAACTTTCGTTTGTGAACTTTGCCAATGTCCCTGCGTTCTCTAAACGTTGTCGCAAACTTCACAGTGCTCAAACGAAGTGGTTCTGAATGCATAATAGTTTACCGTATGTATGTGACCTGACTATATGTAACATATTTACAATAAAGTGACACGCAATCACACAAACACCTGATGCTACATTGCAACTTTAAACAACGACGGCGACAGATGCAGATGAGTCTGCTATTATTACTGGTGCTCTACTTAGGAATACAGCAGTAGGTGGTAATTACATCGATCAGTCGCATTTATAAGTTATACAAGTGTATATTTTTTAAAGTGACTTAAAAGTAATTCAGTGAAGTTAGGTGGCGTAGATTTTCTCTAATTAATATCGATGAACTGCCTTGTTGGTGTAGTGGTCGTTAACGCGGTTGTTGATCATTAGGTCCCGGGTTCGTATCCCGGGTATGGTCAACGTCAGTTATTCGGAGTCACATAATTCTTTTATCCCATCCTATATAAGTATTCTGTTATTTTAAATATAAACGTACGAGTACTTGAATACTACGATTGGGTTTGGTGGTAAGGTATTAACATATACAACTTACGCCGAACCACCATACTGTTGACCCATAGGGTTTATATCAAGAAATTATTAGTAGCAGCCCGGAGTTGGGAACTTGGTGGTGTTTCAGTCCCGTGACTCGAAAAGCACGTAAAGCCGTTGTTCATGCGTCTGATCTCTCTCCGGTCGTGTCGAATTATGACTGGATCGGACTATGAGAGTGATGGAATAAAGCGTGTACCACTTATAATCCTGTCCCGCGCCGATGGCTAGTCTCCGTTGAGACTGGCCGCCGTGACCGAAATTCGATCTGGAGGACATGATTATTCTATCGATTAATTATGATGCTTGCGCCAACCATAATTATTAACAACAAACCAATTAGGTTTGCCTAAAACCTAATTGGTTTGGTTTAGTTTATGTCTGCGTGCAGATTTAAAAACGTTTTCTTTACTAGCGAAGGTTAGCGCTCGTAATCCGTGTCGCACGACACACTTGTTTCGGTTTTTTTCTTATGTTCCGATGTTCTCTTCAAAAAAATGAAAGGAAACCTGATATAAACATTGAAATGCTTATAAATAATTAAGGTAAAAACAAAAATAAAAGTGTATTTCCGTAACCTCAGTCCAATCTATTTTTCAAAGCACAAAATGCTTATAGATTAGCTGATTTCAAACAATTGTTATTCTAACCATTTCATCTCGTGGATTTACAAAATTAAACTATGAGAAAATCAGCTTGAAAAAACGGGGTTCACCTCAAAATGCCTAAGACCGGTATTCGGAGACCAACTCGAATTAAAATTTAAACTCCGCAACGTAAAAATTTAAGTCTAAGCGATACTATTTACACACGTTTTGAAATTGTGAAGTTCGAGTTTAATTTCAAAATTTTCTCTCAATACCGGGCTAAGAAAATATCCAGAGCAGTGTCTAATTGCGTGTCAGCAATCCACTTGCTTTTTGTCGTGTAGGCAGCTTTCAGTCGCATGCATTTATTGGAATTGGTATTAGAAATTATTCGTACGGTAACAGTGTAAGAACAGACACTACAATACCATGGATGTCGTGAGAGGCGACAAGAGGAAACAAACCAGGAGATGGGCAAAAGTATCTTCCTAATATCGGCCTCACCCAGTATCGGAATCCTCGGCGTCGACATATCGAGTGACGTGCAGTTTCGTGGTCACTTGGAAAAGAAGGCCAAATTGGCCTCTAAAAAGCTTAGCGTGCTCAGCAGAGCGGGACAGTGTTTCATGCCGGCATACCGCCTGCAACTTTACAAGGCGCAGGTTCGGGCGCACATGGAATACTGTTCCCATCTCTGTGGGCTGGGGCTCCCCAATGCCAGCTCCTTCCACTTGACTGCATCCAGCGAGGAGCGGCACGAATTGCCGACGACCGAGTGCTTTCCGATCGGCTCGATTCACTGGCGCTGCGAAGAGGTGTTGCATCTCTTTGCGTATTTTATCGCATCTATCACGAGGAGTGCTGTGAGGAATTGTTGGGATTAATCCCAGCCGCCAAATTTTATGAACGCAGTACTAGGCGCAAACCTCCCTATACCATCCACACCATCTGGATGCTTGACGGTCCACCACTGTACGTTTCGCTAGGAGTTTTCTTTCGCGTACGACCTCTCTGTGGAATAGTTTACCACCGGTGATTTTTCCGGACGGATACGACTTAGGGACCTTCAAGAAAAGAGCTTACTCATTTCTAAAAGGCCGGCAACGCACCTGCATTTCCCTGGTGTTGCAGTTGTTCATGGGCGGCGGTTGTCACTTAACATCAGGTGAACCGTTTGCTCGTTTGCCCTCTCTTCTATAAAAAAATAACTTAAAAAAACCACTGTTGCCGACCCGCCTGTCAATCGCCGCAACTTTTGGTAAACATCTCCCTTATGAAGTAATCTACGAGAGGCCTTTGTTCAGCACTGGACTTTGATAGGCTGTAGTAAATTAATGAATGGATAGGAATTCTTTTTTGTTTTAAAGATTAAGGTTGTCAAACGAGCACACAGTCCAACTGATGGTAAGTGGATACTGCGGCCCATAGACATCTACATTTATACTGGATTAGGAATCAAAACGCAGATGCGTTGTCACCCCTGAGGACTAAGATGGAATGCCTCGTTTCCAGTAAAAAAGAATCTACGGATACCGACACTCACCGTACGAAACAAAGCAGTATGAAGTTATTTTATGCTGGTATTCTGTGAGAGCGTGGTCCTTCCCCGGTCGAGCCGACTCATTCGTGCTACAACCATAGTATAGCTGCAGTGTGTATGTACACTCTACCATGTATAATTTAATTTCATACAGTGAATTTATTATATCAGTCATATTTACTGCAGTGTTGGTATTTGCTGATTTTTCTTTAAATGTATCTAATACAGGCTAATATCAAGGCTATGGACTGCCTAAGGGCATATCTGTCTAAGGATATTTGATTTATATCTCGAAGTTACAAGACTACGCTTCTCAAAGCGAGCGCGTAGGCAGTGCTCTACGAGAAGTCTTCCTCCTTCACGCTCTGTTAAAAGACGATTACGGTAAACTCTCCCGCTAGAACGATTGCTGTTCCTAGTTTGTGGGCTGTTGCTGCACTATACCTCAAAAACCTTGATAGCTCATTGGATAAGTTCCCGCTCCTATTTCAACACATGCGAGCGAACCACGCTTAACTTATATACTCGGCGATGCAGGAAAACTTTTTTTATTGTTGTCCATTCAGATCTTGTTAGACTACCCGCATCTATCACTGTTTGTAAATCAAAATCCTGAGCACTAGGACGGAATGCCTAGTTACCAGTAAAATCAATCTCTACACTTGCCATACTAATCACAACAGCATTATTTTGCTAATTATTTATTAACGATTCCATTCTGCGAGTACGTGGTCCGACTCATTCGTACTGCAACCATAATACATTAGTATCGTAAGAAAACCTGCATATCTGAGAAATTAAAGAAAATATATCTGAATTTCGTTTTACTTGTGTTCCGTTTTTCCGTTTTTACCGTGTTAACACACTCATTGGAGCAGCGCGTGGGATTCTTACTTTTAAAACCACTTATAAGTTGAATGCCTGTGCTATGTACGTAGTAGGTATGACATAAGTATAAAAGTTTTAACTTGACTTTTATGTAAAGCAAAGGATTTAATCGTACAGCTGTTAAACAAATTGATAATTCCCTGCTGTGACCACTTTTATTAATTTAATTTTGTTTACGAACAGGTATTCGGAGCCCTTACATCGTGCGCTCTTCGACCGTCCGAGCACTTCTATGGCACGGGCGAGTCGCTACTGTTCTCATTCCAACGTGTGAGGGAAGACGCCAGGCGGCATTCACAACCAGCACCTGACGACAGTAAAGACAAGGACGATACGAAGGAACAAGTGAAGAAGGACGAAAAAGATGTGAAAAAGGATGAAAAGGATGGTAAGTTACCATTAAATCTGACGATTTGCGGCTGTTTTCACACACAAAGACGTATTCGCTCATGCGCTCAGCGTTACATAAGTTAGAAGTTTGGTTTGATCCTTATCAAATGCAGTACCATAGGTGCAGATGCACAGAATATCAGCGTAAAATAACAACTTGATGCTGTGTTTCGTATGGTGAATGTAGAGTACCGGAGACCCGTTTTACTGGAATCGTGGCATTCCATCTTAGCCCTCAGGGGTGATAACGCATATACATTTTGATTCTTAATCGAGGTTAATAATATATATATATATATATATATATATATATATATATATATATATATATATATATATATATATATATATATCAGGGTGTTCGGTTTCCGATGTCCGATACTTTAAGGGGTTAAAATACAATTAATTTTATCGACAAATCAGGGATCAATGATTTTTTTCGCCATCAATAAAAAAATGGCAGCACTTTAAAAAAATTGTTGGCGAAGCATAGATGCTTGTATTAATTTAACAATATCTACCCAAGTAGAAGACTTTCAAAAACAAAATTGGTCTCAAATGTTAGTTAATAGTGTAGACAATAAATCTAGATTCAAAATATTATTTTTTAATTTTTCAGTATTAGTAAAAAACATTTTTGAAAAAATAAATTAGACAAATTGATGTTGTTTTTGAGATTCTTAGCTTTAAAAAAAACCATCGTGTTAACCAAAATTTTTTACTTGTTTTTATTATAATACAGGATATTTGCTATAAATGCACATTTAAATCTTAACTCTGAGTTAGATAGTTTAGGAGCTATGACAGTGTAAACATACTTACTTGAAAAGCGTACTATCAGGTGGACTGTTTTGCTCGTTTGTCACCCTAATACTATAAAAAACTTACCATATACATATTTCTAGATATCGAACCAATAATCTATGCCCACACTATCTATCACGACCCATAATCTAACTACGAACGAATACCACGACGCAACATCTGTGCCTGACGCACACACATATGCACCTTAAAACCATGTTGTTAATTGCAAAAATTTTAAATACATATGCGTAATACCGATGTGTTCTTACAATAAATTGAGCATTATTTAGGCTTGGTGTCGACGATGGAACTCTGTCTATATTTCCTTGTTGGTCTGAGTATATAATAATAAATATGTGCAATGTTCTTTTTGACCGAGGTGAAATGCTGCATCCGTGATTGGGTCGCTAAACACAAAGTTGATAGTTTACCTTATCCATAAACTAAGCTTACCTTTTAAGACCCTCAATATCACATCTTTACTAGGTGGTAAGGCTCCGACTCTGTCTTTTTTCTGTCTGTAAAGAGCCTCAATAAAAAATATATTTTTTATTTCTTCTATTCCTAGCGCCAATAAACGACACACTCATGTCATGTGGATAAAACAACAGATTTTATCACTTAAATGTTATGAAGGCCTAACTTATACCATTTGTAATTAACAGCAGACCAACCAGCGTTAGTAAAAACGAAGTTCAAGTACTGGGGCTGGACCGGTGACAACATGTACTTCATACGAGGCAGCAACGACAATATATCCATTGGCGCCGGCGAGTAAGTAACTCTTGCTATATTTAGAAATAAGCAAAGAAAATAATTATCATTAGTGTTTAAATTAATATATGTATGTATCATCTAATATATATATGGGTTTAGATGGAAAATTGTGAAAGAAGTGATAGGTGGCTAGTCCATCACAAACACAAACCCAGTATTCCATTAGTCGTCTTTTACGACATGCTAGGGAAGTAATACAGTTGGCACTTTTTTTTGTTATAAGGCACAAATGGGTCCAGAAAAACATGGGACAGCGTAATATATATATTATATTTTGGCTGCATTCTATTGAATTTTAGCACATTAAAACGCTTGGGCAGCGTTCGAGAGGATTAAGAGTGTTGCCAGAGATGACATAAAATTAAGCATCTTGGGCGTAAATCAAAGACCTCAGACGTAATGCTTCACCACCGTAGAGGGTGCTATGCTTAGTTTCTTTACGTGATGAACTCGAAATATGGATATCCGCAGTAGAACCAAAGTAACCGACATAGCCCAACGGATCAGTAAGCTGAAGTAGCAATGGGTTGGCTATTTCAGCTTTATGGTAGGACCGAACTAGGCGGAACTGAGCGACACGTGTTGGTCAGTTGATCAACTTTGCCGCGCAGTTCTGCTACAGTGTAGTTCCGTTATCTCTTAGTCCGTGTTGTCTCATATATTTTAAAATAAAGAATATTTTGACGCGTTGTGTCCCTCAGTTCCGCCTAGTGCGGTCCACTTTAAGCTCTAAGAACCGACAACCGATGGGGAAGAAAAGATTCTCCAAGTGCTATTGTCGTGCCGGTAAGCAATTGGAGGCCAGGGATACCATTACCTAGATGAAATGACATGATGCAGGTAGCTCATACTTGTGACAGTATAAAGATGATGATGATGAATCTTAAAATGACGTCGTGCCATGACGGCGTCATGACTATTGTCTTTTATAGAATGAAGTCAGTGAACCTAATCACATTCTTACCCTACGCCGCAACAGGTGAGTGTAGACACATGTCCAAAGGTTGTGGCGACGAGAAAAAAGAAATATTATTTCCACTTATTATATCTTTATATTTACAGCGGCAAATTCGGTCTTTGGTTGGACGGTGACTTGTATCAGGGCCGCACGCAGCGTTGCACCACGTACGGCAACGAACCATTGACGACCAGCGAAGATTTCATCGTCAAGATCATGGAGTGCTGGACCTTCATCTGAGCGAGTGGGCAACATTGCGACCCGAGCGCTCCAAACGTTCAATTCACATCAATATAAGCTTTAGACTATCTTATGAACATTTGCTAGGAAGATTTGACACTTTTACAAGTCAGTCTTTTCAAACTTTAGTACCGATGAGTCTGAAAACGATTTTGTATTCGCATCGACTCCTTGGCGATGCGTTAACGTCGAGACGTGCACGCGCTTTTCTAGTCAAACGTACTGAAACTTGACCAATGTTTTCATTCTCTCCGAATTTAGGCGCGTTCGGACGGAGTACCGCTCGGCGTTGCGAACTGGAGCAAGTGCATTAAACCTAGTCAATTGTCGTTCGTATGTAAGTGGTGTTGGTCGGGCCTGGAGGAGGTGTTGGTGGAGGGAGTGGGTAGACCGCAGTGCGCCTGCGGTGTCCACGCGAACACAAGCCGCATTGCCTTCACTGTTGCAGGCGGTTTGCGTTACGTACGCGAATGTACACCGGAGACGCGCCCGCACGCAAACGGGCGACGTTTCTATATAATCACGTGTCAATTCATATAATTATACTGTGCGTTGTTAAGAATACTAAAAACATATTTGTAATGATTAGTGTCACTATATTGTGTTATAGTAGGGGTTTATTAAGAGATTGATCGTTGCGTTTAGAAAGCAACGATATTGGCCACTCGTGATTTTCTCTTTCTGACGACACAAACGCGTTCGGATCACGTCATTTCCAAATCTACGCGTGGCCGTGACCATGAATTGGAAATAATATACTACTATATACAAAATGCATTTTTAGCTGAAGAAATTCACAGAAAAAAAAATATAATGAATTATATTTAGCCGTTTGTAATGATGTGTAATGTTTTGTTTGTCGTCATGTCTATGTGTTGAGTCCTAATGTTTTTAAGTAAGTGAGCATAGCTAATGTTACACTTTCACTGTGATTTGATTAATATGGTTGCATTTTATTATAATGTATGAAGCGTTACAATTTTAACCGTATTTAGTTGTTACCAAATTTATTTATGAGAATAATCTAACTTTTTTCATTCCAAAGTTGACCCTAAATCCCAGAATATTAAAATGATATATTTGATTACTGAATAAATCGAGTATAAATAATATGTTTTGATGTAACGCTTCAGAAATAGTAGCCGATATGTTATTATAACATTAATTATAATAGTAAAGAATTATAGTTGTCTTATAGAGCTTGATCAATGTAAACGTCATTGTGCTTTGTAATTGTGTCACTTAGCATGAAGTTACTCAGATATATCTGGTCGTGCGAAATTATTTATTTAGCTACGTAAGAACATTGCTACCAGCACAGCAGCACCACAAGCTATGCGCTATGAAGACAACGAGGGGAAAATTATTGTTTGTAAACGACGATTACGAAAGCATTTGTTTATAGCTTGGTGCTGGAAAACACAATTATTCAGGTAAATCCCTGTTGAAATATACAGAATGATCATCGAATATACAATGAAATTCGGCTATGAAAGTAAAGTATAACTTAAAGTGGAACTTTTAAGCCACTCTACGTTTTATGGGGCTTAAATATTTTATCCGTGATTAATTCAAGTAGATATAAGGATGTTTATGTCACTACTTACATTCATGTCGCTAAGCATATATTGTAACAATGAAATATCACTATTTATATATAGACCCGTTTTGAGTATTCAGCATTCAACTTACTGCAGGAATTAACTTACATTCTGTTTTAATAGAAAGATAGAACACATCAGATTTTTTTAATAAAAAGCTAACGACAGCTCCAAACTATTTTAACTACGGAAATATCTCCTTTGAAACTATTTTATGTTCACTAATACATTACAATAATTTTAATTAAAAAAACTCACTGGCGGGTCTAAATTTATAGTGGTTGTGTGAAACGTTTCCTAATTGAGATTATTGGTGATTTATTTTTTATGAAATTGTTGCTATATAGTTTTGCAATGTATTGGTCATGGTAAGAATGAGCGAGTGATCATAAAACTAAAAGTTATGCATAACCATTATTAGTGCAATATTATTGGAAATTTTCAATACATGCAAAATACTGTAAACGTTGTTGTTTGTCACCAAGAATGTATTAGAGTCAAAACTAGGTTTATAATAAATATTATCGGCATAATTATTGTTAAAAATTTATAATAATTAAATTGTTGAGTAGCAGTGAGATATATATAAATACTTATTTATTTTGTTATTATTTTCAGTTAGATTCTGTAGCTGTATTATTTTACTGGTGATCTATTATGTAACTACTAAGTTGTTAAAATATAAATCAAGCCATAATAACTGAGAATATATTCTTTTGAGAAAATTGTGTTTTTTTATTTTTACTTAAGTTTTGACAAATAGGTACATATAAATACTGAACACTTTATGATCATCACAGTAATCATTTAATTTTTTTTAAGTCAGTATGACACATTCTTTTCACTGCATTCTTCCTCTCTTAGAAGGAGGATCATCTCTATCCTGCCTATCCTGATCGGAGTGTCTTTTACCTCGATATGTTTGTTCTTCATAACCCCTATCTTGATAACCTCGTTCTTGGTAGTCTGGTTCTTGATAGCCTCGTTCATGGTAACCTCGTTCTTGGTAGCCTCTGTCTTGGTAGCTACGGTTTTGGTAACCACGTTCGTGGATACTCCTGTCTTGGTATCCCCGATCTTCATAACCTCTTTGCCTTTTACTTGAGCTATCAAATCGCCTTCGTTGGTCATTTCGACGCCCATAGTTCTGAGATCCCCACCAATTCTCTAATATTGGGGGATTTGATGGTTCTGCATTAAATACTTTCATAAAATCTTCATCGTTCTCTGTATATCGGTCCTTGAATTCTTCCTCACATTTTGCTAAGAATTCCTTATCATCAACACATAGACTGTCTGTTGTCATATTTAGTACCAAATTTTAGGTTAACTAATTGTTGTATAACTGTAAAAGATCAATTGGATATGTTTATCAAAAGGTATGTAATATTAATTATAACATTGTGAACTTTCAATGCCCTATAATGTGATTTACTTGTGATATTATTTATCAATGAGATAATTTGTGGGCAAAAATAATAAACTTTACCCTAGACTACCTTTATTCAAGGAAACAATGTTTTAATTAAACATCATACTATTTTGCAGGCAGATGACAAGTCATATTAAAATGTTTTATATTTTTTGTTTAAAAATTCTGCATTCAAGATACAAACTAATTTAATTTAAAGGAGACAATTTATTTTTGTATGGAGAGTGAGCCCACCACGAATTAAGGCGTATTTTAATGAAATGCATGTCGAATTATTATTCCTTATAGTCTACAGACTACAATAGTGATAAAATTACCACATCTAACGGGAATACTGGGAAATTAATTCAAATATGAATATCACAATAATCTAAAAACAAACTAAAAGCGATTGTCTGGTAGTTTTCACCGGTATTATAAGTTAAAATAGTGCACTGTTAATAATTAATAGTATAAAACAAAGTTGTAGGTAATTCAGCATTTACAGGTACTTTAAGATTGATGGAAAATCCTTTTAGTAGTTCCGGAAAAACATAGTGCACAGACAAACAAACGTGGTGTGGAAACTATTTTTTATATGTATTAATTGATTAATGAGTATTAATCCCAAACACCACTACAGTAATTAAAGAAATATGATTAAAGCCAAGAGACGATCAAGGAATATATTTTATCCTATATTTTATCGCTATATGATGAAGATGATGAGTAAATAAATACAAAAAAGCAGCAATGTGACGACTATACCCATACATGGAATCAATGATAAAATAGGGGTATTAATATGTTTCGTTCCACGGTCACTTTGGAACCATATATAGCTTTTGGAAATGGGATTAAAACAAGTTTTTAGTGGTATCTCTTTTAGTAATAAATATATAATATGCAAATACATAATATATGTATAAAATAGGTTATCGTTTTCAAATTAAATATAAAATAATTGATACTGGCTGAGGCAACAAGGGGAGTGCCTTGAAACTGAGGAGATACGTCAAAGGGGTTCTTTTTAAACTTGTGTCAGAGTTAAACTGGACTAGATTTAGTAGCCCCCAATCCGAGACTTTGTTCAGCAAAGACTCGACGTCAGACACAAGTTTGTCCTGGTACTCGGAGACATTTTCCCAAAAACTATTAACACGGCCGATGTACAGAGCATCATCGCTGCTGTCGTCCGCATAGCAATTAATGTTACCTGTTTGTAACATATCATTGATATGCAGAAGAAACTGTGTTGATAATAGCTCGCAGCCTTGTGGAACACCAGCGTTAATAGGCTTGTATGTGATCAGAGCATGCACCATCTACCATAACCCTGATGCTCCAATCAGCAAGGAAACTGGTGGTCCATTGCACAATTTTTGGGAAGCCCATAGGATGGGAGCTTCGCTTGTGCCGCTTGTGAGAAGCGCTGTGACCCAGACCCGATCGAAGGCCTACGCTATGTCCAAACTAACGGCCAACACCTCCCCCTTTAACTCTACTGCCTCCGCACATCTTTGAGTCAGGTAGACCAAAAGATCACCAGCAGATCGACCACGACGAAAACCGTATTGTGGTCACTAATTAGCTGATGATCTTCAAGGTACCTCATAGGCTGGCTGTTTATAATGGACTCCATTATTTTGGGGAACACGGAGGTGATGGCGATAGGATTGTAGTGGGAGGGGTCTGAGCGGTTGCCTTTTTTAGGGATTGGGTGGATCAAATCTGTCTCCCATGAATTCGTAACTACGCCATGGGAGTAGGAGTATCGAAAAAGATGCGTTAGAACCGGTGTCAACTCTGAAGCACACATCCTCAGCACAATTGGGGGGATTTCGTCAGGCCCACTCGACTTGTGGTGTGGATGTCTAGGGAAAGGAGTGCTATGCGAACCGAGCGCTGTGTAAGCCGCACATCCGGCATGGAGCACTCACACCGCGAGTTGGTCGGCGGTGTGCTCCCCCCGTCATCGAGAGTAGAGTTGGACGCAAAGAAAGAGCCTAGCAGATCGGCTTTCTCCTTTGCGGCATGGGTCAGTGAGTCGTACTCCCTGTGCAGAGATGGCTGACAGAAGTTCCCCTGGACACAGCCTTGGCGAGAGACCAGAATGCACATGTTCCCGAAGGAAGTCGAACTAGTTTCTCAAAAATTCTGCCGATGTGTACTGAATTTGCTTTAGCAAAGACAATTCCTTCAAGGACCTGGAGGCGGAATTATACTTTTTTTTAAGAGCGCTGGTATTTGCTTCCCGTGCGTCAGCCCAGGCCCGGTAGCACTCCTACTTATGGCGTGATGAAATTTTGCAGGAGCGAACAAACCATGGCTGGGTTCTGTCTCCGAAAGGTATCACAGATGATGGAATAAAAAGTTCCATTCTCTTTAGCACCACATCAGCGACAGAATTAGCAAAAACGCTGGGATCATCCGGCGAGAAGCAAACTCACCCCCGATGGTAGGATGCAAAAAAGATCGCATCACGTCCCAATCGCCTGACCTATAGCGCCAAACTCGGCGGCTACCTGAAGGACGCAACCGCGATGGGAGCGTGGCACCGTACTGATCATGGTCCGAGGAGTCAAAAACTGGGGCATCGACGGAGACCTGATATCCATCAGGATGAGAGGTCAGCAGCAGCAGTGGAAGATCATGTACCTTACCTACCTCGCGGTAGGCGAGGTAATTAATTGTGCCAGGCCATATGTCAAAGCAGTCATATACAGATCTACGCACATGATCGGTTAAACGGGAACCAAGCCATACAGCATGGTGGGCGTAAAGATCACTAAGCATCACGATCTCTCCCTCGAGGACCTGTTGTAGCACAGAGTCTGTAGCTATTTGGCTTTGGTCGATGAGTCGGCATTACCGCTATGGAAATTATAATGACACCCGTAGACGCGGGGATGGTCGTCGCTGTTAACGCGCAGTCAGGTTGGACTGGTCTGTCCGACCTTCAAGATTAGAGGTGTCGAAAATAGATGTCCTCTCTGACATACAAGCAAACTCTTGCCCGGGGCACAAAGTAGTGTTCTAATTTGTACCCCGGGTATGAGAGATACAAAGTATCAGCCGGAAGACACCTGTGTCTCGGTTAGAAAGAGCAAGGCCGGCTTTGCTGTTTCCAAATGGTAGTGGGCGGCGTTAAGGTTGGAATGAAGTCCTGTATCCGCAACTTGTCATTGCTGCTGATGATAAGAGGGCTGGTTCCTTTCTAGCTCAAAGGCTAATACAGGTGAGGAAAGCAAAATGGTAAGAAACCTAGCATTTTTGGCACTATACCGCAAGTACATCAAGAATGTATGATGATTTTTAGTTTAACTTTTTTATTAAGATAAATATAAATATTGTAAATGTATTTGAATATTTAGACTTATAAATACATCTATGTATATACATAAAACACATTATAATTACAGAATAGAAAAGCTATATCATCAAAAATATATTTATATTTTACAGATCTTTTGTGGATTGTAAAAATTCACGTTATACATGAGTTCATGTCAAAAAAATCCACCTAATGTTAAGTGGAAAATGGATGCTGTGACCTATCGGCATCTAAATCTATCCTTACTTAAGAATTAAAATGCACATGTAAAGACAAAGATGGAATGCCTCATTTTCAGTGAAAAGGGTCTCTGGCTCTCTACACTCACCATATGAAACGTAGCAACTTTGTGCTGCTATTTTGCTTGTTTTCTGTAAGAGCCTCCTCCTTCCCTGGTTGAGTCTACCTATTCGAGCTACAACCATAATAGAGGTGCAGTGTGGCTCTAATATGTGTCCAACTATGATAATTTCGAAAATAAAACTTTTTCACAATATCCATTAGTGTTTCTACATAGGCCACATTTTAAAAATACTGCTGTGTTTTGTATTTCATTGCTATCATTGCTGGCAACATTCTTGTAGCCGCATATTACAGCGAAAATATGGCCTACTTAGAAGCACCTTTATAAAAGTTTAAACCTTCAAATTGAACATAGGTTTTGTATGGTTGAGCCCAGATTTTTGATAGGAATTTAAAGTATTAAAACAACAATGAAAATAGTGAACAAAGTCTTAATTTCAATATATGTTAAGAAGTAATGTAGAGTAGAAAAAATAAGTTAATTCGCCAATACCACAATAAGTATTGTACATACATAAACACTCACGCCTGTCACCCAGAGGGGTAGGCAGAGACTACAGACTTCCATTTAGCATGATCCTGACATACCTTTCTCGCCTCTTCCACATCCATATACCTACGCATACATGCTCGTCGGTTAAGGGTACTTTTAACTTGGCCCATTTTTAGTATATCGCCAATTTGGTCGACAAACTTCCGCCTAGGACGTCCCTTTCCGACTCTTCCATTCACTTCTGCAACATATATTTGTTTTGTCAGTCTTTCCGCATTCATTCTTTCTACATGACCAAACCACTGAAGCATTCCTTTCTTAATCCTGGTCACCGCATCATCTTGCAAACCACACTCTTCTTTTATCACACAGTTTCTCACCCTGTCACTCAGATTCAGCCCTAACATACTCCTTAGCAACCGCATTTCTACTGCATTTATTCTACTCTCGTGCTTCTTCTGCCACACCCAACTTTCACTACCATATGTTAAAGTAGGGACTAATACAGCACTGTGAATTGCCATACGTGACTTTTTTGACACATTCTGACTTTTCACAATAGAGTGTAGAGCCCCATTTACTTTATTTCCTGCATTCACTCGTCGTTCAATATCCTTATCATATCCCCCATCCCTGCTGAATACACATCCCAAATATACGAACTCATCCACTTGCTCAATTAACTGTCCTTCTATTCTTATTTCACACACCGTTTTGCTTTCATCTCTTTCAAAAACCATCACTTTCGTCTAACTTGCGTTCACT